ATGGGCACTTCATAGTACGCCATCATTGCGACTGCTTGCGTACGTTTGCATTGCGAGTCGATATGAGTAGGCCCTGCGTCCGCGCGTTTTTATTCTAAGTCTCGCGCGCGACGGCTATTCGATTTTGCGTCCGAAAGTTATGGGATGGCTACCGAGGGGCTAGGAGCGTTGTCGCGTTGTTTGTGTTATGTCGTTTCGTACGTATGCGTATACATGTTTTTATGTCTTTGTGTTTGTAATGTGGAGTGCGCGTGGTGTGTGGGAAGCGTCGTAGTCGACCGACGATGAGTCGCGCTTGGGACCTCAGCCCCCCCCAAGATGTTGGTTCGCGTGCGGGTCCGATAGAGGTGTATTACCGCGCGTACCCCCTATGCTACAGCGAACGAGAAACGCCCTCGGCTGGTCCTCCTCTGCGATTGCAGCTGATTAGCTTTCGTACTGTGGACTGGTAGCTCGGCGGGGATACGCCCACCGAAGGGAGGTAACAGCTCCCGTAAGGTGTAGGTAAGTCGTGCCTCGCGTAGGCCCTATCTTGTCGTAGGGGCTCGCGAGAGGTATGGCTGGCGCACCCGGCCGGAGCGGCTTATGGAAGCTCTATGTATATCTGCGACGAAGGGTTGTAAAAAAACCAACTCCTGCGTGACGCGGCCGGGAGGGTCCCGCGCTGCCCCCGTGCGGTGCCGGACCGATTGCGCCCGACACCGCGACGAAGGAATCCATCGTCGCTCGAAGAAGGTCTGTCACTTCCCCTGTTATCCCAAATTCATAGGACGAACCCTTGTCATTCCAGCACTGATGTTCTACCGTGTGGATTCTGACCGGAGGAATGAGCTTTGTGTCCAACCGCCCTTTTTGGTGATTACTAAAGGCAAATGTCGGGTGAAACTCTTGGCAAGTCCTTTTGATCAGGCAGTTTTCCTCTTCCGTAAGGAACCCGTCTACCCCTGTCTTCATTGTATCAGCTACCTCATATGGTATCCGATATCCTTCCATCGCTCTCCTCTCTTGGATCACTCGAAGGACTTCCTCCTCCTTCTCCATAGCCTCCTCCTTTAATGTCTCTAGCAGGATCGAGACCGGTTTGGCTTTCTTCCCTACCAGCTTGTACTTTCGAACACTTCGACTTCTGATTCCTTTTCGCCTTGTCGTTGATTGCCCTTGTCGCCTCTGCGATTCGTGGTTGAATGCTAACTAATTTCCCATTCAGACAATATCCTTTGCACCTCTCCTTCAAATTTGGCCAAGGCCGCCGAGTCCACTCCTACCTTGTGGTATCTGAGGGCCTTGATGAGCTGTAACAAATCGGGGATCTCGAGTGCGAGTTCTGACAAGATCATGCGTACTTCTTTCCGTCTGGGCAGGCTGGCACCGAGTTCGACTTCTGATTCCTTTTCTGCCATCATAACACCCAAGATTTCGTCCTCCTGCCTCCTCTTCTTCTGGGGCAGGCCCATCTTGATCTATTCCTTCTTATTGAACGTCTCCTCAATCATAATTTCTACCCTTTCCCTCATGCCCTCCATCCGCGCAAAAGCCACTTTTCGTGCTCTATCTTCGAACGACGACGACCACGTTGCCAACTTCCCCTTCGGAGGGTCTCCTCCTGTCCCTAGAAGTCGGAGGAGCTCTCCTCGGCCGGTCACTGGGTCTTGTATGTCCACCATGTACGTGCCATCGTGCAAGTGCATGCCTATTATTTCCACGTTTGCACACCACCGTCTCCCGAGGATTATATCGTGGTCCATTTCCTTCATTACTGTCATGCGTTGGAACGACCAGATCGAATCCTTGACTCCCGCCTTGACTGCGCATTTCGTGACATACCCAGCGACCGGGATTTCTCCACCGGCTCCCCGGATGCTCCCTGTTACTTCCTTATTTACCATACAGCCCGTGATCGTTGCGAAATCCCTCCTTATGAGAGTGATTTCCGCTCCCCCGTCTACTAATGCGTCAGTATGATGAGTCCCGATCTGGATTTTCATCTTCCCCACGGGTAGCGCATGGAAGCTAAGCTTTGTTCTAGGAGGTTCCCTCATGACCTCACCACCTTCTCGGTCTGGCAAGCTCATGCGGATGTCTGCAAAAGCTTTCTCAAGATCCTCTAAATCCCCGCGACTCCTTTGAAGGTTAGCAACCTCTTGCGGGGCTTCCTCCTCCCTTTCTTCTTCTGGTGCCTCGGGGTTCTCGTCTATCTCTACTCGCCGTCGAGTCAACAATTGTCTAAGCCCTTTGAGCAACCTAGGGCTGGCCTTCAGCATGGTCTGAAACGACACCGATACCATGGTTCCTAGTAATTTGCTAAGGGTGTCATCGATCTCTGGCATAGTTAAGATCGGGATTCGGTATCTAAACTTCTTTTTAGCAGCGGTAACTTTGTTTGTAGGCTCCTCTTCCCTTGGATTCCCATAGACTTTCTCTAGTTCCCCGGCCTCGGGCTCTGCCTGGGGCGAGGAGCCTTCGGCAACTTCCTTCATCACGATGTCACAAATAATCCTTCTCCCAGCCGTCCCTAGTCGAGTAGTCGCGTTCACCCTATCGCGTCCGTCGTTTTCCAAAATGAAGTTGACTTGCAGCCCGCGGCCCGGAAGCTGATTCCAGATGATATCGACCACCGGCTCATCTTCTATAGCTGCTATCTCTAACCCATTGAGCATGATAACGGCTCGCCGCATCCCCCCTAGCGAGTTCCAATTCACCCATTCTCCCTTTAATGACCTGGTACATCTCCTTTTTAATATATCATGGTTGAGTTTCAGACTTGCGCGGACATAATGTCCCATGGCTGTGCAACACCTGCACTGCTCGTTAGCAGGATCTCTCCGTCTGAATCCTCGATTGGCTACACCTGGCGGAACTACGGCTTCCTGGGGAGGGAGGGCGGGTTGGGATACTTGCGCCTTCATAACCAGTAGCGCGTTCTCCACCCTTTCAATCTTGTTGTTGACTTCGTGCACCCGTTTATGTAGACTTTCAATCCCCTTCTTTACCTTGTCGTCTTTCCTACCGGTCAGATCTATGACCTCCCCTTCCTTAAGCAAGGCAAATTTCTCGGTCACTACTGTCTTCTCGGCCAGATCCGTCACCGTACTGAAATCAACATCCCTGGTGTTTACGGACTTGCCTGTCTACTGGTAGGCTGACAGAATCTTATCTTTGTCGAACTCGGAGAACTGCCTGAGGAAGTATTTGCTCATTATTCGGTCCATAACCCCGGGGATCCTTAGTGCTACCAGAGTGAACTCCCGTAGGAAGTCATTGTACGTTGAGAAGTTCTTCCTCTAAACTGCCGCTAAGTCGGCCTCCGTAGCGATCTTCTCCGCTGCCAGGTAATTTGTCATCATCACATCCCGGGTTTCCTTTCAGGATCGGCTCGCAGCTACGATGACCATTATGTCCCGCCCCAAGCTCAAAGACACATGCTGTCCCAGGTGGTCCATTTTTCCTTCTACGGACCATTTCAACAATGCGGCCAGGTTCTCGTAATCTATCAGGAATTCTGTGATGTTCGCCCCGTCAAACGTCAACTTTTTCTTAGCGTCTCCTAGGTAGCCTTGGTTTTTGTTCAGTGCTCGTGCGAGGGACGATACTATCTTCCTAAGGCCGCCTTCGGAGCTACTGGCCTCACCTGCAATACTGGTATCCGGTCCTTCCTTGCCGGCCTTCTGTCCCTCCCTAGTTTTTGAAGTTCCTTCCGGGTCGAACCACCCCAACACCCTTTCCCTGAGGCTCTAGAGCCCTTCACGCCCTCGAGTTACTAATGGTGTGGTCGGCAGGCGGTTAGCCCTACTGTCTATGGGTAGTGGGTTTGTAGCTTTCTCTGGAGAGTTCTCTCTCTCTTTCCTTCTTTTGCTTGGCATTCCCCCACGGTTACTAGCCTTATCCCCTTGCCCAGTTCCGCCTCGGTCGGTCCTCCGTTCGTCCCGCGGTTCTTCCTGCAGAGGACCTTCTTCGTTCCCGGTCATCATTTCCTCGATCAATCTTGCCTTGTACTCCGCGGTCCTTTTTTCTATCTCTGCTAGTTTGCGCCTCACATCCGTGACCCTTACTTTCTTACACATAGCTCCCTCTGAATTCTAGGGGCTTGTCCTATCCTTATTTCTGCCCTCCTTGGTTTCCTGAGTCCCTAACCTGCTTCCCCCGACTTTCCCCGAGTTTTCCCCTGAGGAGATTTCCTTTCGGTTCCCTTTGGTACCTTCGGGATTTATCGACTCTCTGTCTTTCTGCCCCTCTTCACTTTGTACGACACTGCCTCCTAAGCCTGGTCCTCCTTCGCTCTTACGGTTACCCGTCTTGTCCTCCGTTGCCATTTTGCCTAGTTCTGCATAAACCAGAGGATTCCCCCGGACACATGCAACGCGAGGCATTTAGGTTCCCTAGGTTCCGGCTTCGTTGGCTTATCTTTATTCGGGAAATAGCCTTCTCCCTATTTCCGTTTCCTAATTGCTTCCCTAAGAAAGAGCCACGACTGGCCCTGCTGCCCTGCCAAGCTAAGGGCGTGACTTAGTTTCCTTTATCACAGGCTCGTTTAGAGCGCCCTTGTCCCGTCGGGCTGGCGCGTAGGAGTCTGGGTTAGGCATTCTGCTAGGGAAAGTTTCCCGGGCAGTATTCCCCTTTCCGACCTTCAGGGTCATAACAACCATTTGGAATTTATCCTCCCCTCTTTGTTCTCTAGCGAGTTCCGGGTCCGAGACCCTTCCTTATTTCCATCGGCGGGCTTATACTCAATTTGCCCCATTGGCCCGCCCCCGGACGCTAGCCCTGTTCTCGCCCTCGTGGCCCTTCCGGTTCGGTAGGCTCCTCGAATAGTTGAGCCACCCCTGCTAGATAACTCTCTCCTATCTCGATTTCTCTTAGGATTATGTATTCGTATTCCGCCTAGGCTAGCCGTGGCAACCCAAATATCAAAATATGGATGACTTCAAGTAACTCGTCGAACCTGTTTCCCCAAAACCGCCCATGTTCCACAGAAACATCGTAGAACATCTCGATGGTTTGAAAGGGGAAGTGGTCTACCCAGACTATCGCCGAGTCTGCCAGTTCCAGTGCCCTCGCGAGACTCCCGAAGATGAGGTCTATCATAAATCGGGGTGACCCGACACTTCAGCGGCGTGGTTGGTGCCGGGAATTCTCTCCAACCTCCCATTTCCACCCTGGTAAGTAAATCCACGTTTCTTCTACCCCTGACCGATTGTCCTATCCGCGTCAATACCCAGGCCGCCCTCCGGAAGACTGGAGCCAGTACGTGGCCTTGCGCCATTCCTATCCCCAACAAGTGCCAGCCAACCTCGGGTAGGTATAGGACCCCGCTTATCTCCAAATTGGAAAACAGGTCATCCCCAGGCCCCCAGTTGAGTCTCATCCCTGTCCACCAACATTCCACCAACATAAAGGCGTTGTCTCTCCCTAGAGTCACGGCCCGCTATTCCGTGTCGAACCCCCGAAAGTTGGAATTTGACGGGAGGGACACTTCCCATCGCCCGTCGTTATTCCAGGGCGGTCCTGGGTACCGGGGCTGGCGTTCCATTCGCACACGTCTTGCTGTCATTGTTGCCTTAACGATTCCCTGCATAGTCCACATAGAAAGTGTTACAGCCAATCCTTAGTAAACGTCCACCTACTGCCCCCTTACCCTTTATGTTCTCATTCTTCTTCTCTAGTCCCAACTATCCCTCCATATCCTCAGGAGCCGCAACCTCCTCTGGCTGTTCGTACAGTCGGTAAAGGTCATCTATATAGGTCGCGCCCCGACCTACTTCCCGCCTGATGACTCTCCACATGGCCTCATCACTTATTTGCGGAACCCCTGGCCTAGTATTTACTGCTGCTCGTAGTATGCAAAACACCTCATGCCCTTGTTCGTCTTCAAAAGGCCCCATCTCTAGGAAGGCCTGGTAGTATTCCTGATACATTAATGCTTCGTCAAAATCTAGCCTAGTTATGGTAGCTACCGCTTGGTCCACTCGCTCTACGCCTCCCATTCGTCTTAGCAGAAAGGGTGGTAGACTCATTCGTACGACCTCACTTGGCAACTCAAAGACCCCTGCTGCGGCGACTTTTACCTCAACCGTTACGTCATCTCGTTCTGGATCCGCGAACTCCAACCCCTCCCGCCAGGTTATTTGCCATGCTCCTTCGAACATTCGCACGGGGTCATCCCCCGAAGCCAAAGCAATCCCAAAGGTCCGCCATCCTTCTTCCGACAGGTGTAAGGATCCCGTCGCATGCACGTGCCCTGGGAGGTCCAAATTTATGCCCCCGAACTCTCCTCTCGCACGTCATTCCAGCTCTACTACTAGGTACACCGTGTCTTCCACCAATTCTACCCCCACCCAGTCCATTACCGGGTTACTTACCACGTTTCTTGCTGGCAGGCTTATTTCGACCCTCCCCCCTGATGCTCCTGGTGGTAGGATCCCGCGAGGCCTATCCTCCCAGAATGTCATTCGCCGGGTCATCTGGCAATGTCTCATTTCCTGCTTCCTTAGTCCGATTGCTGCACCCACCGAGATTCCATGTCTTTCGTGCTTTAGTCTTTCAACACTCCCTAACTATCGTACACTGGTTCTTGCTCCTATCCCTGCCCCATACACGTACAAATTTTCTTCCCCTTTTTGGTGTTGCTACCTCCCCTTGTTTCGACCCCCTCGCATCCCCTACTAACTAATGTACATGCCCCCTTTTCTTGCGCTACATCCTAATTCACCTGCACCGTCCATACTCTGACCTCCCTGCAGTGTTCGATTTTTGGGTCCCTTTAATCGAACCACAGTACCTCAAACAGCGTAAAGACATCGTCCACGTAGGATGGCACGGCCGCCGCCTCCCGGCTAACTATGGTGTCCCAAGCTTCCACATCTACCTCTAGGCGGTCGTACTTGCCTATCCTCAGGACAATGATGACTTCACTGGCTTTATCGCCGTAGAAGGGCCCATATTTTAAGGAGATCCTACATAATTCCTCGGTCAGCCAGGCACATTCTATGTGTGCTTCCCTCATGGAGTCGGCCACATCTGCTATGTGCTCGAAACCCCCGAACCAGTCGGCCATGAACTCGGGCACCCACGCGGTTGTGCGCAGGCAGGGAGGCCTGAGTTTCCTCCATCCTCCCATCACCACTCTAATACTAACTTCGTCCCACCCCTCGTTGGCAAACCTTTTGCCTTCTTTTCGGGTTCGCGCCTCTGCATCCCCCAGAAGTCACATTGGATCCTGTCCCATTGCTAACGTAGTGCAAAATAGGTGCCACTCATCTTCGGAAAGGACAATCGTCCCGAATGATTCCACTTTGCCTTCTGCTATATCGTCCCAACCTTCCTCTTCCCTTATTGGGTTCCAAATCCGTTCTATCCACACATATGATAATTCCCGGGCAACCTCAAACCCGACCCAGTCGATCCCCCTCCACTCGTTTCCTGCTAGTATAGGCATTTCTATTCCTCCTCTGAGTCGCCTTGGTTCCCGTCCTTTGAAGGTGTATTCCATCATCCCTTCCTCTCTAGTCATCTTTCCCCTTCCTGCACAATACCAGACCACCCGTTTCCCCTAGGTCAAGTCACCCTCCTTAGAAGTCCCAGTCCTCTATCTCATCATCCTCGTCCTCATCGCTGAAGTCATCTTCTTCGTTATAAACAACTCTTTCACCCCTTCCAGAAATTTCTCCCCTATTGCCACATTTGTATAGACTATCCCCCAATGCATGGAGCCAGAGACAAAA